TTCTGTGCAGACATGCTCATGCCGCAGGGTCTCTGCTGGCTCCTTTCATGCGCTCACGCATCTCTCCCCAGGCTCAGCAGGAGTTGGCGAAACAGCTCTCCATCCTGCCCCGAGACAACTACAGCCTCCTCAGCTACATCTGCAGGTGAGAGTCCCCGGATCCGAGCCATTAGGCCATGAGCCCCTGGTGCCACCATGTCAGCAAGAAGCCTTCCCTAGAAAGGCCGGGCGTTTCTCTGTGAACTCAGAGATGACTACACACACCTTGGGGGGTCGTGTCTAGTCATAGCCCTGACGCAGCTTCCTACGGCCACCCACGAGATACGCTGAAGGACCCCCTGGGAAATCCAGCCGGCACACAATGAGCCTGCTTCCTCCTTCAGGCTCGCCTCAGCACAGCCAGAGTCTTGGGACATATAAGAGAACCTAAGATCCCTTAGTGTTTCTAGAATTCTCTCCCGTCTTCCTGACTCTGAGCCGGAATTCAGTACCTCCACAGCATTCCTTCCAGACCACCCCTTTTTACTTTCCTCAAACTCTTTCTGGGATCCACTCTGTTATCATCTCCATGGAAACATCTAACAGGTAGATTGATAGGCATGTTCCAGAGGCTGGGCCTTTCTTCCTGAAATTTGCTTTTTATTTGTCTGAAGGAATTCGGTGTCATTTCCCGCTTTTAAACATGACCTAGGTGTGACTTGGACATCAGGGCATTGCAGACCTTTTAAAATAAGAAAAGGAAAGTTACCCCCACCCCCCTCATCCAGAACTCATCACTGTCACCATTTGGAGTGTGTCCTTCGGAGGGTTGCTGTCTGTGATACATCTTTAGAGGAGCAGAGAGCCTCGCCTTTCTCCCTGGGAGCGGCTGATGGATTCAAACGGCCGATCTTGCAGTGAGTGAATAGCCCACTCCATATGCAGAGGGCCCGGCACGGGTTCCTCATAGGTACCGTAAACACGTACATACAGGAGGGTACGTACAAGAGTATTCGTACAAATCATCCAGTGCGTTCTAAAACAAAAACCCTGAAGATGTGAAGCTGCTGATTCTTGACATACCGTCTGCCATCAAGGTCTGCCTATTTCTGAAGATCATGTTTCCATCTCTCCAACCCTCCTCTGGAGAAGACTGCGGTCTTTGATTTATGCCTTGTCAAAACAGCGGTTTCTTCTTTCTTTTCTTGTCTTGTATGCTTTCATGAGAAGACATTGATTTTCTCCCAGGTTAGGAAGCTGAAAGTCCAAGTCCAGGACTCCAGCTCTGGGAGAGGACCTGCCCTGTCCACTCAGCGCTAGAGGAGAGCCCTTGCCTCTCAGCTTCTCTTCCTCAGCTCCTTGATGATCACCCTGGGGCACCAAGCTTTTCTCCTTTGGACTCCCTTGATTTTGCCCTTCATCTGTTCCTTTTCTTTGAACTGCGTGCTTGGAAGCATGACACATTGTTTTCTATACTATGGACCCTACTCTCAAGGAGCCCCGATGTTGCAGTGGGTTGCACGTTGGGGTGGTGAACTGCAAGGTCAGCCATTTGATACCACCAGCCGCGTAGAGGGAGAAAGCTGAGGCTCGCTACTCTTATCAAGAGATATAGTCTTAGAAACCCACAGGGGCAGGTCTATCCTAGAGGATCCCTCCCTGAGCCAGCATCCACCCAGAGGCAGTGAGTTAATGCTACTCTTTATTTGGTGAGCTGGGACTCCAGCAGTCTTCTTCTGAGATGTGCTTTGAGCTTGGAGAACACAGAGAAGGCTGGAGGGGCAAGATCAGGGCTGTAGGGTGGTTGGGGTAAGTTTATCCAAAGACATTTTGATAGGACACCCCTGGCTACCCTTGAAGAGTGAGCCAGTGGAATCGTCACAAAGGGGGTTAGAAAACCCCTCAGTGCCTGTTTATCACCGCTGTGGCTTTCAGTTGTCTGGAATTCTTGTTTCTAATCAACTCCCATGACCACGCTGTGTCCTTCCAGAAGATGACTCTTCTGGAAACCAGAGTGAGTCACCAGAGCCTTCTGAGTGGTCCTCTTGGCCTTGAATTTTACTGGCCCAGCAGGTCGCCCCCAGAAACGTTTCAATTGGACCTTTGTTTTTGAAAGGAACCCAATGAGACAAAGACACATGTAGGCCTGAGAGAAGGTGCTTCCTGCGATCCACTGCCCACCGAGACGTGCTGTACCACGTTTTGTTCGGAATACACCTGGGCATGGATGTCCTGGAGCTCTAGAAGCCACACTTGTTTTTAACTCACCCTTGTATTTGTTGACGACAGGCTGCCTGTCAGCCCTCTGTCTATCTGCGGGCATACCCGTACGTGATTTCCCATCTCAGTTCAACTTGAGTGTCTCCTCCCCACCCTGGATGCTTCGTTCGCATCGTTATTGCAGGATCACATCTGTGACTGCCTTTACCTTGGTTGCCTGGAACGCATGAGCAGAGATGGGCTGGTACCAGGCCAGAGACCAGGAGGAAATCCCTGGGACTCAGTCGGGAGGTTTCCTGGGTACCTGGAAGCACTTCCTTCTGCCAATTCCTGTGTTCCACTGTGGGATGTCTTGGCCGCCCCCAGGTTCCTCCATGAAATCCAGCTGAACTGTGCTGTCAACAAGATGAGCGTGGACAACCTGGCCACTGTGATCGGGGTGAATCTCATCAGGTCGAAGGTGGAAGACCCTGCTGTCATCATGCGAGGTAGGGCATTCTGTGGTGAAAGCTCAGCAGGAGGGTGCACTAAGGGATCCCACGCCACCACCCATGTGGGTGCATGACCCCGCAGCTCACCAACCACTTCATCTGATGAGCTCATCCGAATTACACCGTCGACGTTGAGGCAGGCAGGGCGGGAATTACGCCACTTCCCACATCACAGAAGAACAGAGTTAAGATATTTTCCCATTGGTCACACAAGGCAGGACCGCGGCATTCATCGCCTTTTATTACTTTTTAAATACGTCGAGCCAGAGAGAGCACACAGGTTTTATTTGACAGCCTAACGCGCACACACAGGCTGCTTATAAAGCTGTGCTAACAAAGGGTTCAGAGGCCACGTCTTACTCAGCAAGTCAAACTCCTGGCATTAAGGACTGAAGTCTCCTCTTGTTGCACGGAGACAGTATCTCAGGCACGTGACCGCTGCCCTCAAAGCCTAGGCCAATAAGAAAACTGGCTGTCTGGTAGGGAGCACTATAGGAGGGAATGATCTCTTCATTGCCTCTCCTGTTACCCTGCCAATGTTCCTGTTCAGAAGTGGTTTCAGTAGACTGTAGGCTGAAAAGAACCTTCGCAGCTCCTTAATTCTCTTCACTCTTTTACCCTTTATCCCTTGCATAGTTCCAACTCCCATGGCAACAAGGGTATCAAAGTGGCCCATCCTACATATCCTGGGTGTTCGGCTCTTGTACTTTTAGGGTCAGATTTGGAGACGTCACAAGGTGGTGGGTGGGCTGTCTACCTCCTGCTGGGGGCCCAGCACTACTAATAACCATTCTTCTCTCTCCCAGGGACTCCTCAGATCCAAAGGGTGATGACGATGATGATTAGAGACCACGAAGTCCTCTTCCCCAAGTCCAAGGATGCACCCTTGTCTCCTCCTGCCCAGAAAAATGACCCTAAGAAGGCACCCGTGGCCCGGAGCTCTGTGGGGTGGGATGCCACTGAGGACCCCCCAATTTCTCAGACAGACGGCTTCAGTAACATGGTAAGTTACCAGCCTTCTTTCTTCCATCTGTCTCTTCCTATCAAACTCACCGCATGGAGTCTGTCCCACACACAGCAACCCTAGGGGACAGAGAAGAACTGCCCCTGTGGGTTTCGTTTTGTATTTAAATTTAAAAAAAATCATTTTATTGGAGTCTCGTACACTCTTATCACAATCCATACATACATCCATTGAGTCCAGCACATTTGTATATTTGTTGCCCTCATCATTCTCAAAACATTTTCTTTCTACTTGAGCCCTTGGGATCAGCTCCTCATTTTTTCCCCTCCCTCCCCATACCCCTCCCTCATGAACCCTTGACAATTTCTAAATTGTTATTATTTTGTCATGTCTTATACTGTCCGACGTCTCCCTTCATCCACTTTTCTGTTGTCCATCCCCAGGGAGGAGGTTATATATAGATCCTTGCAATCGGTTCCCCCTTTCTACTCCACCTTCCCTCCACCCTCCCGGTATCATCATTCTCATCACTGGTCCTGAGTGGTTCATCTGTCCTGGATTCCCTCTGTTTCCAGTTCCTAGCTGTACCAGTGTACATCCTCTGGTCTAGCCAGATTTGTAAGGTAGAATTGGGATCATGATAGTGGGTGGGGAGGAAGCATTTAGAAGCTAGAAGAAAGGTGTATGTTTCATCACTGCTACACTGCACCCTGACTGGCTCATCTGCTCCCCATGACCCTTCTGTAAGGGGATGTCCAGTTGCCTACAGATGGGTGTTGGGTCCCTACTCCGCCCTCCCCCTCATTCACAATGATGTGATTTTTTTTGGTTCTTTGATGCCTGATCCCTGATTCCTTTGATACCTTGTGATCACATAGGCTAGTGTGCTTCTTCCATGTGGGCTTTGTTGCTTCTGAGCACCAAAGATGGCCACTTGCTTACCTTCAAGCCTTTAAGACCCCAGACACTGTATCTTTTGATAGTTGGACACCATCAGCTTTCTTCACCACATTTGCTTATGCACCCATTTGTCTTCAGCGATCATATCAGGAAGGTGAGCATCATGGAATGCCAGGTTAATAGAATAAAGTGTTCTTGCATTGAGGGAATACTTGAATGGAGGCCCAATGTCCATCTGCTACCTTAATACTCAACCTTTAAATATATGCACATAGATCTATTTCCCCACCATCACATATACATATATTTACATATGTACATGCCTGTATTTAGACCTCTAGAAATGCCCTTTGCCTCCTAGTTCTTTCCTTTCTTTCCTCTTGTCCCACTATCATGCTTAGCCTTCATTTGGGTTTCAAGCCCTACCAGGACTCTTATACCCTTCTCACCACTGATTTTGGATCACTTGTTGTTCTCTTGCCCCTGGGTTTGTTAACACCACTTCCTTTCCCCCCCACATCTTTATAGGAGTCGAGAGCCTCATCTTTCTCCGGAGGAGCATTTGGCAGGCTTGACCCACTGGCCTTGGGATTAGCCTGATGCATAACCCACTCTGCCACCAGGGCTCATCTCTTCCTGGAGGCCATTCTAAGAGCTGGCCTGGAGTGGCAGCTTTAGGTATTTGAGACAATGCTGTGGCAACAGAGCCAACTGATGCAAATCCATTGCAACACAGCTTGAGGACTCATCTCCTTTTGCATAGTTTCTATTGATGCCCAAGGCATCCTGGAGTTGTAGTTAATGACTTTTTGCCAGGCATCCAATACCTGAGCAATGGGGGTCCTCAGGAAAGCCCCCTGTGAGAGAGAAACTCGTTTTAACACAGTTCAGGACATGCAATGGTGAAAAAAAAAAAAAAAAAGGATGTATACTGTATTGTAAGTGTTTTGGTGAGAGCTGTTGAAAATTCTGGCTGTAAGTCCAGAGAGAACTGGTTTCCTGCTAACCCCTGAAACGTGATTTCTTTCTGAGAGATGCGATGAGTTCATGTAATATTTCTCATTCCCTGATAAGCCCTCCCAGCAATGTCAAGCCCCTCGTTTGTAATGAAGTGTTGGGGCTCACGTTCTCAGTGTCTAAAAACTACCCAGACTCTGAGATTTAGATTATTTGAGGGCAATGATTTACAAAGGCCTTTTTTTTTTTTTCTATTTAAGGGGGCTTCAGAAAGTTCCTGGAACATGGAATTCAGAGCTAATGAAGTTTTTCTATGAACTTTTCGAAACCCCTTAGTATTTACAGGGACTCATATTTGTGAAAAGGGCATGTGAACTTTACATAGCAGCTTGATTTCTGGCTGACCAGGTAACTTACGTTAATCTCCAGAATAATTTTTAAAATATTGACACAAAAGGTAGGTAAGTGGCCATGGTTATGATTGTTCTTAGAAGACATTTGTCTGCATATAACACATCTTATTAACACCCTATGCGTCTGAACTTCAGAAAATGGCCATACTTCACCTAGTGAAATCATCCCAGAAGTCCTTAAGAATAGCCATTGTTATGCTCATTTGGCAGATAGCCACTGTTCAGTGGGGTATGCATTGTCCTGGTAGCCACAAAGTCAGCAGTTTGTTCAAACCAGCTGATCCCTGGGGAACAGATAAGGCTCTCTGCTGCTCTGAAGATTTACAGCCTCAGAACCCCATAGAGGCAGTTCTACTCTGTCCTATAGGACTCTGTGAGTCACGAATTGACTGGATGCCAATGCGCGGAATACTGGCTGACCCTATGCCGGCCAATTTAAATAGATCACTTCAGG